GCAGCCGCTTGCTCATTTTTTGCGAATGTCACCAGGGAGGATGTGGGATTCTTGTATTTCTCCATGATCTAAGTAATCGCTGGGTCTCAACTGGCCAGTGCACAAAAACCTTTAAAGTGGTTAGCTCACGCAGTGCATTCAACTTCTAGCTGTGCAGTTAAAGCTGGGCGAGCGGCTGAAAACCGGTGGATCCTCTAATCTTTTCTTGATAAGTCCCCGACCGCCGCCGCGGTTGGACGCGTCTGAACGCGGTCCAGCCCAGAAACAGGGAACTGAAACCGAGAGGCTTTTCCCGCAGTGCAAACTATTTCAGACTTGCGGGCCGCGACCTACACCTCACAAAACACGCGAGGGGCTGCTGGAGGGGGCACCGGCTCCGACGGGGAAGGGCCTCTGCGCGGCGGGGGCAGGCGCGCCGCGTTCACGCGTGTCCTTGTCGGGCGCAGAGGGAAAGGGCCCGCCGGCTGCGTGGGGGCAGCCCGCCGCCTCCCGACGGAGCCGCACACCTCCCGCGGAGCCGGCAGGGCCCGGGACAGAGCTGCCGTGTGCTGCGGGGGAACACCCCGCAGGCTGACACCCACAGCCCGCAGCTCTGCCAGCGCCTCCCCGCGGGGCAGCGGGCCGAGCCCCGCCCGGGTGCGCCCTGCGACCCCTCGGGGACCAGCTCTGTCGCAGGGAGGAGGAGGTGACACTTTTTGCTGTTGGCACGTAAAAGTGGCTCCTGGCCGGGGCGTTATCGCTCGCCTCCCGGGTGAAGAGGCCCCCAGCGAGGCGATGGGTGTTTGGGGGGCAGGACCGATGGGGCAGCGTGCCAGCACCCCTCGGGGGATGGATTCCCGCGACCTTGACTCGCGTTCAAAAGCCTTCCCCCAAGAAAGAGAGAAACGTCTAGTCCCAACTCTGTCATGCAAAGTGACTCTGCTCGCATCCCTCCCCGTGGCTCTTTTCATTAATTAGGGACTGCAACGGGTGTGGGGGAGGGGGGAAGCGGCTGGAAGCCACTAATTATTCAAACTTTGGAGAGAGCATCCAGATGAGCTGGGTCAGCTCTTTAGGGCAGTGCTTTGTAACCTGTGTGTATCAGGCGGGGAGCGATCATGCCACCGTGCAAAGCCTCCATTAAGAGATTTCGTTTCATCGTTACTCATTGCCTGCGGGATGTGTGCAGACTTCAGTGTGAGTAAACTAAGTTTTTGTATCACGGAAAAGAAACAATTTGCTGTGGCATGAAAGAGTCGCGAAAAACCCGTCCTTACGCCCACCCCCAGGCAATAACCTTTTTAACTGTACTCATCTCCCGCAACTCAATTTTTCACAAGTGCCCTCTCGCCTCTTCCCCCCCAACCCCACTTTGTCACAGGTTTTTGCAATGACGCCCATCATTCCTACAGCAACTTCTTTCCGCCCCGGCAGCTGAGGCTCCCCAGGCCCAGTCGCCTCAGGACACCCATCGCTCCCAGAGTCCGCGGGCGAGAGGCAGAGCAGGACC